TATCAGGTCTGTCCTTTCTCTGTCTCTCGTTCTCTTTACGCACGTCTACGCATATATTTAGCTTCAGTTTACTAACCAAATTGCAATGGGCGGCGACAACGCGGATACCGTGTATTTCAATCTCGAGTCTCGCGATTTGGTGGGACGCGTTGACGGAGACAGAAAGAGGTGGTTGGGATACTAGGGGGGATGCACGGGATTCGCCGTGAGCGAGACGAGAGGGAAAGCCGGGGATGTAGATAGCGATTGAGAAAGGGGAGACGAAGGACGAGAGGGTTGCGAGAGATGGAGAGAAACACGTTGATAGAGTGGCAAGATGGAGTGGGAAGGGAGTATCCTGCGGAAATTCGATGCTAATGAAGGAAATTGCGTAGATGCCAAACCAGTATTTCCCTTATCTCTCTCCCTTCCTCCTCCTCCTCCTCCTCCTCCTCCTCTCTCTCTCTCTCTCTCTCTCTCTCTCTCTCTCTCTCTCTCTCTCTCTCTCTCTCTCTTTCTCTCTCTCTCTCTCTCTTCCGTTTTCCTTCTCAACTTCTCTCGTTTTCTTCTTAGAGGAAGGTAACACCCGCCTCCGCGAAGAGGGCGTAACGAATTTCTCCCCCGCTTTCCGTTTGCAAGGTGTACTTCTGAGTTCACTAATTTCCACTTCTTCCTCTCCGAACATCGATAAACAGTCGGAAGATTCTGGATGTTGTCATTGGAATCCGCGCGCGGAATTATTCTTAACTTTGTCGTGAAATACTTGTGCAGGCGGACCATTTTAATCCAGGCAATAGACAGGACATTCTTTTTTCAGTATAATCAGGCAAACTCCAATAAATTACATTAAAAAATAGGCAACATTAATTATTACCGGGATGAGTCTAACGACATTTTTTTTGTATTAATTAATGCAAATTATTGCTCTAGTTCTTCTTGCTATAGAGTGTACAGGGTGCTTCGGATATTTTGCCAAGTACTCCAGAGATAGTCAATATCCGCAAACCCGGTGTTCTTATCATTCCGCGGAACTCGCGTATAAAGTTTACGCGTGCCTTCGCATTATCTTCATCTTGCCAGGCGTGTCTCCTTTATCGAAGCGACCCAACGCACCCCGAGGGAGGAGTCGCTTTTTCGAAGTGGAAAGACAGGTCGTCCGAGACACCGCCGCTCCCTTTATCGAGCATAATTATCGAGCAACTCGTACGATGGTAAAGTTCAATAGGTATATAAAGTGCAATCGTCGTCGCTGCGCCATGAATAATCAGATTATAATCATCGATCCGATCTTCGAAGGGTGTGACTCTGCTTCGTTCGCGAATATCGCGTCCGTTGATTTACGCGACGGACAGTTGAATCGTTATCGAGTCGCAATATCCAGTCGTATCGACTAATTGATTAAACTCCAAAAGAATTTACCCTGGCTTTTCTTTTTTTTTTTATGGTTTGCCACGTCCGTCGGCCGTAATTGTGATTTAACTCGCGCGTGTAATTGCACCGGAGACCGCCCGGTAATTCCCGCGAGTTCCGAAACAACTGGGATCATCGTCCGTGACTGTCCGCGCCGCGCCCGCTCTTATATTCCGTACCGCGGCTATAATTTCCTACGATGATACTTCTCCTCTTGGGCGGAAACACACTCGGAAATGGAAGTGTCCGGGGATATTTAAGACTACAAACGAGTACAAGCTTTTAACTCTCTTTCTCGCATCTGTGCCAAGCACGAGCGTTTCCGATGATGTTTCTTCGCGCGCGCGAAGGGGACCGTGGAAAAACTATTTTCACCACTTTTGTAACACACATTCGGTAAAGCTCTGGTGGAAACGGCATAAAAAATTCGTAGTGCAACGGCGCTACTAAAGAGGCCAACGAGTGGAGAGATGTAATATACTGCATCAAAATTATTAAAAAATTGTAATATAAAAAGTTAAAATTAACGATTTATTTCGATATAATTTGAATTACATCGACGCGCAATAATTAGCAATTATAACAATGAATGGACAATTACATTAACAAAACATTGAAATAATTATATCAATAGAAAGAGCATTTATTTAAATATTATATATGTATTAGTAATTCGTTTAAATTTTTTTTAGCATTTTATACCATTTAGGTTGATTGTAATAATAATTATGATAATCTTTATTCAATTGATTTAACTAAATTCTACGAGAAAATTAAAAACATATTTTTTGCCTTTAGAAATATAAAAATTGCAACAAATTTATAACAATTTACCTACACTATAAAAATAGGACATCACATTCTTTCTAATGTTTTGGTAATTTAGCAGCTGTGCACTTTAACATCCAGTGTTTTTGCCTCATATTCGTGTAAAGAATGCATGAAGATAATAATCGAAATTTTTCTCATACAATTGTTACTTCTATTTTACTAACAAAGAAATTTCAACATTTACGCGGATCGCTGAAAATTAAAAAATAGTATGCTCAGTGTTTCGTAATATTATAATTGTAGCAAAATATAGTACTTTGATTAATTTCACAAAAACGTAACAATTCCTAATAGGTTTTAATAATTTCTCGTATGCAACATTGTATTATATTATATTAACGATATAATTATGTGTGTTTAGCTTTTGAAATTTTGAAATAACTGTGAAGTTCCATGTTATTTGTTGGTAATTAAGATCATGTCACAGTACGTCAAAGTTGTTTACAGAAATGGCAAAAGCGATACAAACAATTTAATTCGAGATGAAGGTTCTGTAAACTCAGTTTTAGTAAGTATGACGTCGGAGAATTGACAGTGCATTAATTAAACAAGTAAAACAATGAGATTTAATGAATGGAAGTAGTATACGTGTAACAGGATCGAATAATTGGACAACGAGCTTGTGCGCTATCTTAACGTTCGGCGTCCGAACAATCGTTCGTGAATGTGTAAGCGTAAAAATAGCTTTCCGTTGCGAATTGGGTCGCGCTGTAAAAAATGATTGGGCGATCGCGCTTACCTATATCAGAACGGATTTTGAAATATCTCGCGCAAACACGCCGATGTGGCGAAAGGGGAGGAGGATATTCCATAGGCGGAAGCTGAAGCGCGCGACTACCGATCTTCTCCCCTTCCGTGAACGGATACTCGATATTTCTCATTTCGGACGCCACTCGGCTATTTGCATCTTTATGGAACATTTTAGCCTGCAGCTCGCTCGCAGGCGTACGTGCATACTATTTACTTTATTTATACTCTTTCGACGGGTGTTACTCGCGTGAGATTAGACGATGTGAATAAAATGCGCGCTGTAGCGGGGACAAAGATTATTTATAAAAAAATTGTTAAAAGATTATCGTAATAAACTTTCTTAATACTTTTTCTAGCACCTTTCTGCTGCAAGAAAGAAAAATGGAAAATTTAAGTAGCGACGTTAATGTCCTTAAGAAATTCTGTATATAATAGTTTTTTAATAAACAACTTTCTTTGTTAGATAAACAATTACAATAACTTTGATAGGAAAATGTATGATAGTGTTTTTTAAAAAATGACAGTTAAATCACAATTAAGAATATTCTTCTGCTACTATTCGCGAGTTGGAAAATTACGACACATCGCTTAGGACGATTCGTCACATGCCGTACAAACGGAGTGTGTTGTAAAACTATCGACAGATAGCCGCCTGGGTTACAGTTGGCATCTGCCTATTGATTGATGAAGCGTGCGAGGATATCATTCTCTCTATATACACGTTGCACCTACTATTCGTATACGTTGTATACGTCGCACTTCGTGCGCGTAGTATTTTTTAACGGTATTCACAGGGTATACGTTTTGTGTAAAGCACCGTGCGATGCGAAAAAGAATGTGAAAGTACCATACGAATTTATGTGAAAAGAATTCGCGTTTATAATATTGGACCGATTTGCGAAATCAGGAGAAGTTTAAATAAACACCTTGAGAAATTCCTAACAGATTCCAAATCTTTGCAATTCTTCGATTTCCAGGAACGTTGACTGATAATTTGCAAAATCAAAAGCAAAAGTATATAATCACGTTTGACTTCTGTCTGTACGTAATTGTTAAATGTGACTGTACAAGAAAATCCGTTTTGCATTTCCGCTTTGCGAAAATAAATATATGCAATGTCTATAAAGATGTCTAAAAAAATTGTATTTTAATTTAAAAACTTAATAAATAATATCTCGAATTAAAATTGATTTTTGAATAATATAATATAAATTGCTACAAGAAAATACATTTCACCTAAGATTCCTTACAGGCGAGCGTGTTGCTCGTGAAAGTGTTTTCGTGTAGCAATATCGGAATCAAATGCAATTACGAGCTAACCAAGTAATCCCCGGGACGTCGAAACAGCAGAAGGAAATGTCAGACAATCTTTTTTATTTTAGTTCAAAAATACTTATGTACTCCGAAAAATCATTGATATGAATGATACTGTACAGCTAAAATAATGTCTTTATTTTTTAAAGCGTTTGATAATGTTTTATCTTCAATATAAAATAATTTGTATAAAGTAATAGTATAAAATAGAGGCGCTATATATGTAATTCTATTATAAATAGCATAATAATTTATCCAACGTAATATTTTATATCCACGCGTAAACGAATAAAAAGGTATGTTCGTACCGACCGAAAAATACGCGGCTTACTTCAGCAGCGAGTTTTCGAGCTTGCGAATAACGAAAGCGTGAAAAAGCACCGCGACAGACTGGACCGCGCGACGCGTACGCGTCTCTCGCTCGCGAGCGGAATAAAAACGACGGTCGACGAACAAAATCACATCAGAAATTGAAGTTTTCGCAAACTCAGCTACGGAATTCCAAACGGATCGACCGTCGGCGCGGCGTCGAGAGAGGAGAGAGAGAGAATACAAAATTGGCGTCGCGACGCTTACCGCGCGTCGCTCGATATATAACCCGTAAAACGCCGCGTTATCTCGCGCGAGTATCAGGCTTCCACGCCAACGATGTTTCGTGATAATCGACGCAATAAGTACATTTTCAACGAATATATCGAAATATTATTGGTACTCACCAATTTCGTTGTGCCCGTCTCGCTGTGTCGGATCGCTGCGTTATAGCCGCCATGCCCTGCGCACCCACGAATCTTTCTGCGAACAGAAAACGATTGATATTTCAGTAATCCGTAACATCCCACATGTTATTTAATATTCTAATCACATACGAATATAGAAATAATACCTTTTTGCCAAACTTTACCAGGAAACGAAAGAGATTGAATGAAGTATTTGTGATCGATGCGGAACGTTCAAAAAAGGCTGCATGCAAAACCGACGCCGACGCGTAGAGAAAGAGAGAGCGCCATTAGCGCCAAATGCCAATAGCGGCAATAGCGGCAGCGCCACGATCGCGTCGGTAACGGCGGACAGGTTCACCACGGCGGATGGTATAGTGAGGATCAATCGTTGGGTCACGTAGATCGGTGAACTTACCGACGTGTCTGACAAATATATCGCGCAAAAGGTGGGAATTATCGACGCCACCGACGGACAACGACAGCAGATGGCGGTCTCGGAAAGGCGCCAACGGGAAATTAAAAATCCATACGTATCGCGGCGCCGGCTGTGGACTGCGGGGTGTCGGTGACGTCACGGCTCGCCCCCTGAGAGAAAACATCCCCGGCGAGAGGGATGGCAGCTCGCCCCCGTCCGAGCCGGACGGCGCGTGAGACTGTCTCGGACATCGTTGCGTCGTAGAGGGGGAGGAAGCGTGAAGGAGGCGATCGACGACGTGAAGCGCGAAGCCGAGCGTTGCCGCCCTGTGAAGCTCGCCGCGAAGCGTGGACGGCGCTGCGCGCTCGCGGTGTGACTGTGACGATCGACGACGCCCCGGACGGACGGCGACACGACACCGAGCTACGGTGGCCCGAGGGTGCAACAAGCACCCACCGTCCGTGCCGGGCAAACATGAGCGAACACCCGAACTCGCGGCTGGTTGCGAGGCTCGACCTGTGCGTCGCGAATCGCGCCGAGTTCGCCGGAACGGGTGAGTAGAGGATCCCGTTCACGAGGTTGATGAGGTCTCGACGTCCCGGATGATGAGCCTCCCGCAGTTAAGTTCTCGCCTGGCTTGCTCGCCGAGAGGCCGAATTTAAGACGAAGATTTAAAAGGGCGAAAGCTCTCTGGACGCTACGGAGATGATATGAAGGTTAATTCCGCGAATTCGCTGTGATAGCTTTTATTTGTCGCGAATGAGTATTGTGATTTTCGTACTATGGCACTGATGACGCGCAGTAGGAACGTGATGAGGAAGGTAAGTCGAAGCGACGTTGATGCACACTCCTCAATTCCTGTTTCTACATCGGGAACCTGAGAGGGCTGTAACGCTATTAAACGTAGTGATGTCAGAGACTTTATTCACTTTGATGCGTTTCTTCTGAAGAAACTTTGTCCCTCGGGGATTGATCTCGACGAGCTGCATGCGCCGCTTTGACAGTGGTGATTTCGAGAGGAATGTGTGTCACGCACGCAGTGTTCTTGCGACGCAATAACTTCGAATAAGTATGCGTATATACGCGCGATTGTACAAATTGCAGATTTTCCGCGAGAGACTTTTTTTTCCATGGACGATTAACAGCAAGATTACAACGTTACGCATCGGAGTTTTGTATGTTCAAAAATCACGAAAGATCGCCAACAGGATTTCGAAATTAGGAATATATCGGGATATAATTTTCGACGTGTGCAATTGAATTTCGCATGTATGTACGCATCAAATTTTTCTTCTAATCGCTCGATCAATTTTCATGTCGCCCAGGATTCTTTATGCCTCGTCATTTCGTAACATTGTTCAATACGAGCTTTTTAGAGTTTCCTTGTGTCGAGACGGAAAATTCATGTCATTAAATATGACAATGCCATTAAAAAAAAAACGTTTAAATGCCACCCTAGCTGAAAGATGAGAATGCTCCGCGAAGCGAGTGCCGTAACAAGGGGTTTTATGTCCCGCATATACTCGTCCCATCCACTATCACCCCGTATTAATTACGCTCTTAACATCGTTCGGACATAGCTGTTACATTTGTTGAAAAGAGACAAGTTATTGCATGGTTTACATCGAAAATCGTGCTCAACAAATTATTAAGTAGCTTGTTATGATTTTCTTACGATTACAAAGCTGACATTATAATATGTTTATGTTTGCCAGAATTGCCGCTTGCATGGAAATTTACTCTGGCTTTGCATAGTAATTGCGTGTTGGCCATGTCCTTTTTCAATTATCTGGAGAAGAAGCAATTTAATCTGGCGAATTAAATTACGTTTAAATTACTTAACACATTTCTGTGGACAGCGATTATATGCATATTGAATGATAAAAAAATCTTAGAATATTCCTGAATGAAATATATGCGGTGCAATTAATAAATGGAAGAACATTAGCTTCAAATCTGTTGCGATTTTTAAATCTATGCGATTAAAAAAAATTAATATAAAATATTAATTATTCATGTAATTAACATTTCTCGAATTTTCTGTTCTTATTGTTGTTCTATTTCTACATCCCATGATTGTCTCAATGTTAATCTTAAAATCACACATAATATTCAATAAGTACAATAATATTACGTTAAACAATATGTACTTCAATTATCACGTAAACTATCCTAAATGACATTGTCCATACGTTTATCGCTCATTAATCGCTCGTTTATTGTTGCCAAGATGTACGTCGGAAAGCAAAGGACATGGCACACCTGTAGATACGAAATGCCGGACTAGCGCGAGCGAAGCGAGCGGCCGACCAGTAGAGGCAGAGCAAGCGAGAAGCAGAGCAAAGTAGTGAAGAGAGATTAGAGAGCAAGCACGTAGAGCGAGGGAGAGAGAAGGAGTGAACGATAGAGAGAAAAAAAAGGGGTATCCCGTCGCTGAAAATTTGCGTGGCGCAAAAATTAGCAGAGAGAATGAGTCACGCTCAACAGCATGTGCTTGCGAGCGCGATAGTCCTCGCGCTGCTAGTGGTATTCGGCATCCACGTCTTCCTGTTTCCCATGTACACGTCGACCCCGCCGACGCGTCACATGAAGATCTCCACGTACGAGCAGGGGCTCTGTCGCGCGAACCTGAAGAACAACGCCCGCGTACCGACGTCGGAATTGCGCAACAATCCCTACCCGTGTCCGAAATACGGCATAGTCTCGGCGGTGCAGGGCGGTAGACTGGGCAACCAGATCTGGGAGTACATCTCCGTGTGGGCGACCGCCCGGAGAACCGGCCTAGAGCCATTCATGCCGCGCTGTATTCTCAAGACCCTGGAGGAGCACTTCGAGAACCTCAGCATCCCGCCGCTTAGCTACATAGGCAGGTGCATCCTGGACGTCGGCCAGGTGGTTAATTCGCTCAGTCAGTGGAACAGTACGGAGCAAAATATCATTATACCCAGGTTAGCGTCACTTGAGATTTTACGGCACAAACTGCTGTGAAATAAATGCACCAATAAAATGCGTGAAAAGCAAAGTAAAAAATAAGTTTCATAATTCTCTCTCTTTCTCTCCATTAATCTTTTAAAACATATATTTAAATGAAGTAAAAATTGAATTTTTTTCCTCAGGCATGCGGCTTATTGGTCTTTGATACTGGTTTGGCTGGACGACGTACGGCGGGAGTTTACGTTCAAACCGAATCTAAGGATTTACTCGGAGAAAGTGTTGAAACGCGTGGCGGAAAAATTCAATCTATCCTCGCCGACCTACGTCAGCGTGCACGTGCGCAGGACCGATTACGTGGATTATCTTTGGCAGAAGTTGAAAACGCGGCCGGCGCCGGTAAGTTACTACCTGTCGGCGATGGATTACTTCGCCGACAAGTACAGCAACGTGGTCTTCGTGGTGACGAGCGATAATATCGCCTGGTGTAAGTATTACTTGCACAGTAAACGCCACCGCATCAGCTTCGTGTCGGAAAACGACGGTAAAGGCCCGGGGAAAGATCTGGCGGTCTTGTCCGCGTGTAATCACAGCATAATAGATTACGGTACCTACGGCTCCTTCGGGGCCATTCTGGCCGCCGGCGAAACTGTGGTTTACAATGTAACAACATACTTTTCTACGTTGATCGCTGACGTTCTGCCAAATTGGAGGATAATGAGTTGAATGAGAAAATCAAATAATCCATAAAGCTAACAGAACGCATTTATGTTACATCGTATGCGCACTTTTTTTTGTAATATGTAATCTTTTCGAAAGACGATAAATTATTCTTGGAAACATTTAATTAATTTATAACGAGAGAGAATTTCCATAAACTTACGGTTCCTTTTCAATACCGGTAAAGTACAAAATTTGCAATTTAACGTTTAAAATTAATTAACACAATTCTTATCAGATCGCAGACCAAGTGTGTACAAGCCACACATATAATCATTGTATATTTACATCCGCTATCTATGCAAGTATGGTAATTTTGAACTACTTGAAAGTGTATCTTGCCTTTTCCCTATCTAGATAATATATATGCTCATATATTTTCCTTTTATTTATCGTACATGCGTAAGTATCTCGCTAGTAGTAAAATTAAATGAAAGTGTGTTGCTACATCACGTCAAATTTTATATGTATAAATGCGTCGTACTGCTTAACCGTATTAAGCATATATATATTACGCTCTCATTTAAATTTAGTGTGCGCACACAAGCTAGAGATCGATGCACCTGTAAACGTAGCGAGCGAATCTTTCAAGGGAACTCGAGGAAAGGGTTTACAATGGAACAATGGACCACTAATATCTAAAATTTAAAAAACAGATGCTTAATATTTTTTCTACGACTCTGATACACACGGCCGTAAAAATTTAATGAAAAGGGAAAAAAGCGTAGATCGGATGTCCTTTCCAGATAAGGTTAACCAAACGAGCCTAATTCAAAGAAAGAAAAAAAAAACACGAGTATACAGATAAATTCTAAATTTTGCAGTGCTCAGAATTCTATCTGGTTAATCTCTTAGCGTTTCGCGTGATCTTTTCTAAAACCTGGATTTTTTATATATTATTTCGTAATTTATTGTAATTTTCTATAATGTAGCCTAGTTGTGAGATTTCAAGTTTGATTGTGTTTACACATTTCAATGTGCATTTCATATCGTAGCAAGCGTGTAACATAACACTTCATAGACACGAAAACCGACGTTGACAAAAACCATCTGTAAACCTTATAATGTACAATGATTTCAACTGTGATTCTATTTCTTATTGTGCCAAAATTCTTAATATACACATAAGCATATATATATATATAAATATATATGTATATTATATATACACATATATGTATTATAAAATTATATCTATACAAAGTGTTGTATAATATTTACAAATCTGTGAGCAAATGATAAATTATTTCTTCACTTACTAACCGTAAAGTATTATAAAATGGGAAAGTTTACAGACTATTACTATTATTATGCGAGAAATGGATGGGGAAATATTTTACATATAAAACTAGTGTTTGAAATTTATTAACCATGTGACCTGATGTATTTGACTTACAGTGTTTTACAAGTTAGAGAACTAGTCAGTGTCTAATATCTATGTATATGTTAATATTTATATATTAATGTATCTTCAATGTATTTGTGCCTGCCAGTTGTTGGATATCTGATAAGATGTTGGAGCGCAGAGAGTTATGCAATTTAATCACGAAAATGTATTAATCGTACACGATATCAGACTTTTTATTGCCAACGTTAATTGCGATGAGAAATACGATTAGAGGCAAAAACATAAATATGTTGAATAATTACTGAGACTATACAACTTTCAGGCATCGATACGATCTATTCTGTACATTCTCTGTGATAATTTTATGTAATTTTTGAGAACATAACGCATAAGCTATAAAAATGTATTTGTTTTACAGAATAAAAATACTCTGTGTCAAAATTAATTCTATGTATCGATCTTGATCAAAAACATTTCAGGTTTTTTTCAGTTATATCGCTTTTTAGAAAGTATCGTTAGATTAATTACATGTATTAATTATATCAAATATCCTACTAAACATATATCAAATGTTGTACAGTTTACTAAAAACTTATTATTATCCCTTTCATTAAAATGTGTAAAAAAATAGCGATAAAATATGTCACTTGTTGACACGAATTTCTCAGACAAGGTATATAAACTTTTCATAAATCGATTATATGTAAAAAAATTTATAAAATGTACTACTGATTTGCAGTAACGAGACCAGCTGGACCTAAACCTAATTTCGCACCGGCTATCTTCATCCTCAGAGGCTGAAATCCAAGTTCAGCCTTAGGAATTCCGTATTCTTGCAGTTTACTTTCATAAGCCGCTAACAAATCGTCGTGAGCTTTACACACTTTTGCTAATTCATATTGTAGATCTTGTATTGCAGTATTTTTTCTATTAAGCATATCCTGCAAAGAAATGTTGCATTACTACCGTATTCGTAACTGTATACTTAATTCACAATCAGATAATTATAAAAATAAGGTGATGTTTAATGTATACCTCTAATTTTTTATTCACGTTAATCACCGCCGTAGGATCCAGTTGAGCAGCAACTAATACTTCGCTAATCTGCGCTTCACGTTGCTCCAATAAGTCCGACAACTTTTCTAATTTTTTTTCCAAGAGTACATTCTTTAAACCCGTTTTTTGTTGCAGTTCGAATATAGCCGAGACAAATCTAGAATGTAACTCATCTCTCTCGGATTGACACTAAATGAAATGTATTAGAAAGACATGTGTTTCAAAGTTGTTGTGCGCTTGAATATATAATGAATAGATATTTAATTATCTTACTTTTTCAAAACGCAGCTCGAGAACTTCATTCTCCCATTTTAAATTTTCTAGGTCCTTTGCCACTACGGACAATCTCCGTTTTGTATTCTGTAATAATTATTCATTTAGTTTTCTCATAGCGCCGTTACATGCCAAAGATATGCTTTAGATACCAACAACCAAACATTGTTTGTCTTTCTCGTAATTTGCAAGTTGACGATTAAGTTCAGTAACCGTTTCCTGGGAAGCTTTCAAATCAGTCGAATATTTTTTATTCTCCGCTGCTAATTCCCGTACTTGCTTCTTCATACGTTCCTCATTATTTCTCATCACTTCCATTTGTTCCTATTGTGAAAAGATTTGCTATATTAATTGGAAATTTCTCAACACTTGTTTTCCATGATTATGATAATCATGAAATTTATAACAACGTTAGGGTTCACCTTCATACTCTTAATTAACGATAAGTTATTCAGAGTGATATCATTGTAATAATTTTTCATTTCGGTAAACGCATTTTCGTGATTCTTGATCAGATTCGCGATTTGCGCGTTCTTCCTCTCCTCCACTTCAGTTACTTCCATGCGATGCTTCAATATTAAGGACTCATATTGGCTGGTTAATTTTTGTTCGTACTTTTGCTCCAATTCTGTCGCTTCAGACTCAAATTTCTTCATCATATTATTCATTTCCTCCGAATTATGCTACATTTTGTACATGTAAGAATGAGCGATTCTTTTTCAGTTACAATTGAATAAATATATACACATGAAGATTGTACTTCTTACCAATTTTAATGCGCGAATTTCATTCATGTACGCTGATTCTTGTTCTTTCTGCGTTTTTTTTAACTCTGTCTTGTCTTTAATGAGCTCATTTTCTTGCACAACATGATCGTCTTGTGCCAATTTAAGAGCGACCAAATGATCGGCTTTGGTTTCCGACAAATTGGTCTGGTGTTCATACATTAGGTGTTTCACTTTCTGTTTGTATAATTTGAGTTCGGCTTCGTGATTCTCTGCCAATTCCTCTTTCTCACGTTCTTTATTTCTGAAGAATTTTAAACGCGTTTACGTACGCATCGCAAATGATTATTTGTTACCACTAAAATACCTGACTACAGCACGCGCTTCATCCAACTGACGTCTCGTAATTTCCCAAAAAGTTCGCAATTTGTCTCTCTCTAGTTGAAAAAAGTTTCTTTCCTCCCGTTCACGTTCCATCTCTTCCAATATCTTATGGGCATATATCTCCAATTGCTCCCTATTCATTTTTGTTGTGTCTACTCCCTCGACAGTATCCATCGCTTTCCCCCTTGCTTTCTTGGGACCCTTTTCATCAATTTTAAATAACACAATTTAAAAAACATTCTTTTTATAAGAAATAAGAGAGGTGAAAGAGAATACATAAAAATCATAATTACATATATGGAATTATATTAAAAAGCTTGTAGTTGAGAAAGTATGTATTGATATAAAATACTGATAGTATTGATAAAAGTATTGATAAACTATTGATGACCCATCGTTACAAAGCTTTTATGATAGGTTAATAGTGAAAATTAATGAACTTACCATTTTTGTCGATATCAAAAAAGTCGTTAAAAAATTTATGATATATTAATCTTTGATGTACTGATCTCTTCAAAGATTATAAAAAAAATAACGTGAATAATGATGACACCACTACAAAAACTATAGTCTCACATCAGCTGACTATGCCTGTACAAATCAGTCAGCTTGACATTTAAGAGTGGCACTGTTTTGTAAGAACGTTGCTAAGTAACCGTACTCTCTGGTATTCTTAATTCTTATTCCTTGTATTTATACATATGCAGTTTCACTACGACTTGTATATTGAATAACGATAGCTTAAATATGATAATAATTATAATCATTTAATAATCATGCTGTGAATTATACATTATAATACGATGACGTATATTATTGAAACTAATATTTTCAGAGAATATATTTGCTTATTGTTATTTATTTCATTTATCATAAAATTTAATTCTTATCATAAATGACACCAGATGGTATGGATACACAGACACATTTTTTATTGTATATTAAAATGATATTTTATTAATTTTTTTTGGCATGCTTCCACAATACATTGTAACAAAAATAAGCTCTTTGTATAAGGATACGCTTGTGATTATGTACAAAATTACTCGATAAATTAGAAATAACATCCAATGTTTTATTAATTGTCACATTTAAAGTAGAAAATTAAAATAGAAAAAAATTTATTATCACATTTCAAGTAGAAAGTTAAAATAGAAAAAAATTTATCACAATTATTTTCTAAAACAATATATGCATTTTCTTTATGACAATATCAATATTTCAATGATACATTTTTATTCATTCACAGTATTACAACGTATTTCTCAAAAATAAGATTTAACATTTGACACATGTTTGACAATTTCGAGTACGCATAATATTGCATTTCGCATTTAATATCCTGATGAAAGCGTAATTTGCATTTCAAAATCGTGATCTCACTGGAGTGACATAAAAAATTCTTAATTTATGCAATTGCCAGATGCGAATGAATATTTCATTAAAAAGTTGCATTAATATTCAATTAAAAAATCGTATTAAAAAATTCATTTTGTAACACGCAATGCATTAACAACAAAATTGCAGATATTAACAATTAGTGCGAAAGTATTTACTCGCTACAATAGTTTTATAAAATTACGAAGAGAAAAGAGAGAGAGATGTGCAAGTGTAATATATATAACGATTGCGTTTACTTATATACATAAAAACCTGTGCACATTTGTAGAAAAACTTTACAATATAAATTATGAGGTAGAACTAGTCTATGCGGCATGTAACAAACATCGGAAGGAGAGGCTATCCTTAATCCTTATGGATTTGGTCCATTTATCAATTTCTATCTGCCGAGTCGTGTTAGATTTGTGCTCGTAATCGAACAATTATCTCGAAATATAATTACCCCCCGACCAAAAAAGAAAAGAAACATCTTGACGCAATTATTTTTTCCTACATTAAAATAGTGATAAATTATACAATGACACTTGACAAATATACCCCTAATCCTACTGCTTAAATATCGAAGTTTTTTCCGCCTTAAACATAATAAACGATTATTTAATTGAAAAAAATGTAACAAAAATAAATATGATTATGTCGAAGAATCTTTCTCACTCGAGAAATGTTTTGCGAAGTTGGTCATATGGAATGCTATATGTTGTATATGACTGCTCCTCCCAATTGTTTTCCATTGTGTTTAGCTAGATTCGCCATTGAATTGTAATAGACATCCCACCGCGCCGAAGTAACCCTGAAATCAAGACACAACATCCTGTGATGTCTGAATGGCATTTTAAAATATGAGCTTTCAGTTAAGATTTTTACTTCATGTTCCAAAAACAGGGCTTTCAAGGTTCCTTTAGACCAGTAATCCATAGCATAGGCCAACAATTTCATTGATATGGGATTTACCCTAAGAAAATTTCCTACGAATACGACCTAAAAGCGAAAATTATTGTAAATGGCCAGTTTAAGAAGTTGTATGTAACAAATTATATATTTTCCTATTACCCTTTCAATTTTTTCATTAACAGCACACATACGCGCGATAGAACCGATATTATTTGTGATAGTAACAAGAGTTGCGCGCGCCAGATCTTCCTTCGTGACGGTATTTCTGCGATCTTTGGAATTCATTTGTCCAAAACTAAGAAGAGTAAAAAATGAAATATAAAAGTTGTAAGCTAAAGAAATTACATCTTAGAGTAGGAATTAATAATTGCTTTACAATTGTACCTGCTCGCAACTAAATCTCCGGGAAGACCGAAAGGACCATAATCACCGCCGTATATATCCTTAACCAATTTATCCACTCTTGTATTATCACCGCCCGTTGCTAACTCTATTGCCTCTTCAAAAGTGTTACATCCAGTAAGCAGACAACATAATCCTAAGAATGTACCGCCACCTAAACTGTAAGATAATTAAATGTTTATACTGCTATTACGCGACAACAAATATCTTCCCATTATAAAATATAACACATTGTAGACAATTTACCTTGTTCCAGATATCCTTTTATAATCTTCTGGTCCGTATACAGCTAGTATGCTTACTCCAGAGCCTATATTAACGAGCTGCAAGATATAATCAATCACAGTAATTCTACCAGTCCAAAAACGCACATCGAAATATCTTTATATTACGAGGTAAGGATATGATTCCTCTTACCAGGAAAGGATATGGTTCAGAAAAGTCATAGGGTTCTTTTTGGCATTTGCTGTCATCTGTGGGATTCGACCAATAATAGCATTCACGTAGATTCGTGGTCTCTATGTAAAGCATTCCGCGTAATAAACTATCCAATTCGTCGAACTTTGCCAAGTTCATATTTACTTCCTGCCAAAGAGATTTTATTATATTTTAATAATTATTCATGCCATAATTATAAAAAGGCAGAGATCAAGACAAGAGATCTTCCAAACCTTTTTGAAATTGTCCTCGAATTTAAAAGCACCACCACCAGTGGCGCAAACCGTAGTCACAAGATTCGCCATACCTTTTGATTTTGCTAATGCTAAAAAATTTCCCATTTCACTCGTGGGAAATCTAATAAAATGTAACGTTCCTCGTCTGCCTCTAATGCAAACGTTATCCATCTGAAACAATCGTCAAATTGTCAACAGGTTTATACAACCAGTAAAATGCAGAAAATACAAGTAAATATAAACAATTAAATATTTAACAATGTTTACTTACTTGTAGATGCGTATCACGATGACCAGTTTTTCCATATGCCGAATTTTTAGTGAGATATCGACGAATATTTTTCAACGTCTCAACTTCTGCATCCGCTTCATCTCTCGTTATATCCTTTGGTTCGAAGTATACTAATTTGCATAGTGTACCACCTATATCCATCCCAAACCAAGGCATTGCTGTAACAATAATGTACGATTAGTATTTCGTTATGTAAATTATGCAAAAAAAATTATAATATTAAAACATTTTTGTTTCAAAAAAATGCAATAATCACTATAGCAATTAGAAAAGCAATTTTGCAAAAATTACGAGATTAAATTTTTAAAAATATGATTATAGGCACATCATGCAGAAAAATGGTGCAGCAACATATGTAAAAATATGTATATATACATTAAAAGAGAATCTAATTACAAATGTTCTTTTGGGTAACAATCAAGCGAAGTAAAGATAACGTTTTTGTCGCAAGCATCATCTACTTTATTACCAATGCTATTTAGCTTAACAAAATTGAATTAAAAACAAAATTTGATATTTTTTATAGAAAAATCTAAGCAATGATATTCAAGCTAGTACAAGCCGGCATAGGTATACAATAATTATTGTGTACAACTCCTCACAGTATTATAGACACAGTATAGACGCAGTATTCTCAAGGCATATAGTCATTCAGTACAATATTCATAATAATAGACATAGTATAGACATGGTATTTCCAGTTTATAGTCTTTTTCCAAATATAATATTCATTGTTTCAAACTCTACTTTTCAGCCGAAGGTTAGTCATTAATTATCTAATAATTAATATTCTTTTATTAAAATAAATTTGAATGAAAAATGAAATTATCGATATAATTGCAAACAAATTATGTTAAGGCACTGAAAATACTGCAGCTGTACACAGTAAATATTGCATCGTGTGGACATCTATACGACAGCTTGTATTGAAAATCATATCTAGATTGTTCTTACTTATTTTATTTTATATAGTCAATCATTCCATTTTAATATGCATCAAAAGTTAAAAAAAATTATAATAACCATGATGGAAAGTATAAAGTACTAAACTCTATCTGCAAACGATGCAAACAACGTAGTATATAACAAAAAGTAAAAAATTGGCAATCTAAGCACACATACAATCCACTGACTCACAAGGAGATGAATGATTTCTTGCTTCTTTGGTCATGGTATTGCCAGCAGAGTATCCGTTAGACTGCATGTCTTTTGGAGTTAAATTATTTTTATGGCTATGCGGACTCATTGCTCAGAATAGAATGATTCACTGCGGATCCCTCGGTTGTGGCAAATAATGTATTCGCTGAAAAAGATACATATATTGGACAATTTTGAAAGTACAATTTCAAACGAGACAATATCTCATGCGTCTTTTTTTTTCAAAATCATCAAACTCAGAAAGCTTTTGAAACTTTAAAACGTGAGTTAAGAGTTATTTCCAAGCCAAGAGTCAAAGATCATCCTTTTCATTTACGCACACAATATGTAAAGTACACAGGCACGCAAGCATATATTTACATTCAATAAATGACGTCACACAAGTCCATGATATACACATTTTTATGTACATTTTTTTAAGTCGTTTTAATGTAATCTGATATTCTGTACACTTACTGGGATTGACTTAAATACAATTTTTAATTCTGTTTTTTTTTTATCGTCACATTGTCTGTTATTGCTCATATAATAGTTGCAATTTTTCTTGAAACAAAATTGTTATTGTTCATATAATTGCAATTTTTTAAAACAAAATTTTGAAAGTAACTTTAATAAATATCGTATCTTATCGTACAATATCTATATATAAATATATAGTTTCTGTTACAACAATGCAATATCAAAGCAACAAGTACCGCGCTGAACGTTTGGCATTCATGTTTTGATTATACGCGCGAGTATAAAAGCGCCCGGGCTTCTAAACACTCATCGATTATTTTCAAACGCTATAACAATATACATAAACGCGCGATTTCACGTTACGTAAACCGCGTATGATAAATTAGTAATCTAAGCTATCGATCTCCCGTCTCTATCGCTCCATTTCGCAGCTCGCGTCAACTACTCTTCGTCGAGCTGTTTGTCAACAGCGTCTCACAGCGCGCTGATATTTCCGACTCGTCGCGTCGCGAGTTTCTTTAAAAGAACTTTGCTAATGCACAAACTACTTTGTAACTGCCCTATTCACGTCCATGTCAGTCACTGTGGCGGCAGCGTCGTCGTCGTCGTCGTCGTCGCTCGACGTCGGACGTCACACCGAGAAGTCGCGTCACGCGAAACACACGACGAGGAGCGACGGTGGCGTGACGTCCCACGCCAGGCCGGCGTGACACTTACTCATCAGATTTTCGCTACAGCGTCGGCGGGAGCGGCACACAAGTGTCTATACACGTACACACGTACCACGGCCGTCGTCGAGTCGAGCCGGACGCGCTCCCTTCCGCTCCGCTCGCACCGTTCGACCGACTGACCACGACGACGACGTGCGACGCGAGTCGACCGCGACGCGAGCACGAGCGAGCGACGACTGCGGCACTACGGTGCTGTTAATATAATAATATACCGCGCGGCGATGCGATAACTGTACAAACGAACGGGACGTCGTCGATGGAAACACGCTACTATGCGGAAACGCGGCGTCCGCTCGTACAGCAAATTCGATCTCGCCTTCGAGCGCGCACCATCTCGAGGATGGGCACCACTCTGTGTTTAAGGCTGCCATGCATGAAATAATCTCGAATTTATGTAAAAGCACGTAACGCCCGAGCTAATCTCGCCTGATAAGATACCTCGATGTTTCACTCCGCTAACTTCTTGCCAATCTTTATTCACTTTTGTGTCGAATTACGGACTCTTTGATATGCAGCACTTCTCGAATCTCGATGCGCACCGAACGCTTCCGAATTCACTACTGAGAAACGGCCGTTAACTCGCTTTTTCCTTAACTTCTACGGATATCCGTCCCTTCTAATCCTTTCTACGATTCACCGTTAACCCTTGCTTCTTTACCTGATTATGAGACAATTGTTTCGGCCCGTCGAAAGAATGTCACGCGCCATGGCAGAATTGTAGGAGCAACGCGGCGACGGATCAGCTGATCGCTCTCTTTTTTCCTTCCTTTTCTAAAATGGACATCCGTCCTCGTTGTTAACGTTCTCTCGCAGTTTCCCTATTCCTCCCTCTTCGCCCGGTTTATTTTCCTAGCTGTATCATTTACAGATCTTCCTGTGAAATAATTTCATTGTATTTAATTAAACAGAAATTGATATTTCAATAATTTTTTTCTCGAATTGAATTCATAAAGCTGCTTGGACGCTCATTGTTGACGTAATTTCTTCACGAAAATTGAAGAAAACTATTAATATGCAAAATTAATTTTTCATTATTATATATAAGCGTGCATCATGTTTATATAATAAACACTTTACGTAATAAAAAAAAATGTATTCTTTTTTTTATTAAATATATTTTTCATATATATGTCTTCGGGTTTTACTCCAAGTTTTTTTTATATACCTACAAGTTTTTTACATAATTTATCGTTTATGCGAAGTTAACGATTTAACGTCACAGTTAAATTTCCTGCGTAACCTTGCAAATAACAATCGTTCGCATTAGCGATAAAGCTACCTATAATTGATTTTCAAGCGGTAAACGTAAGTTACTATGGTCTGCACACGTCACATATATGTATATTACTGAATTAATCATGATGCCGCGATTCATTTAAATATCCTATACACTTCCTCGCATTCTTTGTCTCTCTTTCTCTCCCTCTTTGTGATAAAATATTAAATTGCATATGCTTAGACTTTGAACGGAAAAAAAAGAAAAGTTATAAGACAACGTTCAGGCGAGAATGTCTGAACTGATATAATTTCACAAGATAATTTCTCCTTAGAAAAATTTTCTGCAAGTTAGTAACAACAATGACTTGCAATATGATTCTCATTAGTGCGGATGAAGCGGTAAAAACCATCAGCATGATACATTCACGTGATCGTTCATATAAATAAAGTTAATAAAATACGTTCGAAGCAAAAGTATAATAGAATATCCGACGTAACAAAAGATAATCGTATGTTTAAAATTCAATTAGAAAGTAGAATCTCTTTTAATCTATATATTGATCGCAAAACAAAAAATTAAGTAAGTTAC